TCGTGTTGATTAGATGTGGGAAGGTGTGACCTAGACTGAAACTGAATAGGAATGAGATCAAAGCTGCATCATAGGTACTGGAAAGGTGAAACACCAGTTTGTCGCTGTCATTGTGTCCCTGGGCAAGACTCTTGCCTGCTGGTGGTGGTCGGAGGGACCAGTGGCGCCAGTGCTCGGCAGCCTCGCCTCTGTTAGTGCGCACCAGGAGAGCTGTGGCTACATCGTAGCTCATCCCCACCAGCGTGTGAATGCGTGTGTGAATGGATGAATGACTGATTGTGTTGTAAAGTGCCTTGGGGGGTCCCAGGACTCTAGAACTCAAATACAGGCCATTAATTAATAATAATAATGAATTTTATTTATAATGCGCTACACATTTGACGTCAAATCTCATCGTGCTACCATTTATATTTCTGTTTGGATGCCATCTCTCCTCCATGGACCTGGTGGCACATTTAACCACTGATTGGTCAGGTGCTGGCTGCGCAGTGGAGCAGTGGTTAGAGCTGTTGCCCTGTTCGCTTCCCAGCCAGGGATCTTTCTGCATGGAGTTTGCATGTTCTCTCTGTGCATGTGTGGGATCTCACCGGATGCTCCGGCTTCCTCCCACAGTCCAAGAAAAAACATGACTGTTAGGCTGATTGGTCTGTCTAAATTGTCCTTAGGTGTGTGTGTGTGTGTGTGCATGATTGTTTGTCCTGTGTGTCTCTGTGTTGCCCTGCGATGGACTGGCTCTCTGTCCAGGGTGTACCCCGCCTGATTGCCCATTGACCGCTGGAGATGGGCACCAGCCCCCCGTGACCCTACGTGGACAAGCGGGTTCAGACAAAGGATGGATGGATGGATGAATGAAACTGAGACGCGCGTAGTCCGAGTCAGTGCAAATCACCAGCTCACGGACACCACGGTCCACAGCAAGTTGTAGTACTATCAAGATCCCAGCCACTTCTGCAAACTATGAGGTCTTAGGACCCAACCAGTAACATCGGGAGTCCTTCTGGTCAGCGTTCAACCAGACGACCCCCACGCCTGCCCCAGGCGCAGGACCGTGTTGAAAAGAACTGCCATCGACGTACACGGTCGGCAAGTCCACACAGAGAGACAGATCGAAGTAGTGGTGGTTGAGGTTTAGAACAGTCTGAGGAGGGCTAGCAGGTGGGACTGACATAACAGCATAGTCCGAGCAGTGTTGGCACGCAGCCAAACCCATGCCAAGAGGGCTACGGTGGTTCTGGGTGTAGTGTACATCGATTTCGAAGCTTTGAAGAGCCAGCAGCCATGGCGCGATTCACGCATTGGTCATTACACCATCTCTGATGTGCTGACTGTTAAGGAAGGTCACTGGCTGGTGCTGAGTTTCAATGATGATTTTCTGACCACCGATGTAGCTAGAAAAGTGTTTAACTGCCCACATGGTGGAAAGCAAAGCTTTTTCACAGCGAGAGTACTTCAACTCAGGACCGGACAAGAGCTTTCTAGCATAGGCTACGACACGCCTGTCGCAATCATATACTTGGTAGAGACCAGCACTCAAACAGTGAGCTGAGAAACCGACCTCAAGGTGGAACTCCTTGTCGCAATCGGGGAGCGCCAAGCACGGAGCTGAGCATAACGCGGCCTTCAGGTCATCCATGGCCTATTGCTGCTGCTCAGTCCACTCGAAAGTCACACCCTTCTTCAGTAGATTAGTCAGAGGTCTCGCTATCTCAGCATAATGTTCTACGAACTGGCGCAATTAGTTGCACAACCCAAGGAAGCTCCGAAGTTCGGAGACGTTCGTAGGAGGTGTGATGGTGGCCACACCTTGAATTCTGCCAAGTTGAGGCTGCACTCCCTGTGGTCCCACAAGGAGGCCAACAAACTGAGCCTGTGATCTGCACCACTGACCTTTGGCGAGAGAAATCTTTGCACCTGCAGCTGCGAGCTGACCCATGACATGGTCCAGCTCGGACAGGTGGTCATCCAAGGTACGCTTACGAACAAGAATGTCATCGACATAGATGAGGGTACCTCACTCTCGAGAAGGCTTTGTCCAAGAAGATGCTGAACTCAGCTGGTGAGTTGGAATAACCAAAAGGACACAGAGTGAAGGTGTACTGGCGGTTGGCAAAGGAGAAAGCTAGTTTGTGTTGGTCCGATTTATGGGCAGGAATTGTCCAGAATCCAGACGCAATGTCAAGGGTGGAGAAGTATTTAGCATGTTTCACTTTTGGAAGTTCTTGTTCCAGGCGCGCCATCGGCCACCTAGACAAGGGAACCTGTTTGTTGAGTTGCCTGTAGTCAATGGTTAGTCACCACTTACCATTAGGCTTATTTCCTGGCCACATTGGAGCCAAGTAGGTGCTGTTGCAGGGTCGGATGATCCCTTTAGCCAAGAGGCTTTCAATGATTTCCTGGACTGGTCCATGGGACGCCAGGGGAATCTTGTATTGATGCACAAAAGTCGGCGCAGCGTTTGGCAGTGTAGGAATCCTGACTTCATGGACTTAATGCACAGGGAATCAGTTCTGGAGGGCACCCGCCCCCCCTTACATCCAAGCAGACGCGGTCATAAAGAGACTTGCTCATGATTGTAAAATCTGAACCCGTATCTAAAAGTGTGTTGCAGGAAAGCACCTGTTGCAAAATGACATCTACTGTGGGCTTATCACCCCTCCCCTGTGGCAGGAGAGGTCCCAGCAGTATTTCATCTGGCTCGACACCAGGGGGCACTGGGCCACTGTCCGTGGAGGTGCCACTTATCATCAATGTGGATGGAGTGAATTGCGAGATGTTGAGGGTTTCCTGTAATTCAGAGCCAATTAAAACATCCGATTGCAGCATTCTCATTTTATCTGTTGGCAGATCAGCAGAACACGGGGTTGCCGCCCCTCCCACCTGAAAATCATTTACAAAATCTCGGATTTCTGTGACTTCCTGTTGCAGATTGAAAAGCTGCAATTTTATGCTTCTCATCTCAGCAAGCTGCATTTGGGATCCGTTTCTCATTTCAGCAAGTTGGATTTGGGATTCCTGAAAATCATTTCTCATCTGTAGGATGACAGATGTCAATTGTTTAATTTTCTCTGAACTCATTTTAATGCCACAGGTCCCTTAATTTGTTATAAAATTAATGGAAGCTGAATAAGAAACAGTTCTTACCGGTTGATTATAAATGAGCTTTGTTACAGGAGAAATTTTTGTGTTTTGAGTGAGCATTCAGGCAGAACCGTTAAGTAACGACCCAGATATATCACTCTACTGACCGTACCGAAGATGGCTTGTCAAACTGCGTGGTCTTACCAGGCAAGATGGAGATTTGGTGAGCATGCACCGTCCGTCCACTGGCGGTCGCTTAAATGCTACCGAAGTCTGTTTCTCACACCGAAGTGTTAAAAACGCCGCTAAATCAACTCGAACGAAGCAAATTTTTATCCCTTTGTGGGTAGCGGATTTAGAAGACACAGGAGCGCGGTGTTGATCGATTTTCAGCTACGGTTTGCAACTCCGTTTATGCCGAAATTGAAAGCTAGGCCTAGCAGCTAAGCGCTAAGCTAGCGGGACCTGTCAGCTGAACCAGGTGATTTTGGTCTAGTTCTGCAGTAGAACTGGCCGGCGTGAATAAACGAACATTTGTGAGCATTCGTACTAATATTCGTCCTAATTTTGCGTGGACAATTCGTATTGCCCGTGGCTATTCCGTTTAAAAAGCTTATGTAAGCAGCTATTGCTAAGCAGCTCAACGGGGCTGACTACCGATCAGATCGGCAGTCTGGAAGCGAACTCCCGGTGGAGATCTCTATCTCTGTTACACAAGTTATCACGCAGTGTCACGAATCACTCCAAAACATATTTAAACATATATTTACATGCAGATAACAGCCGGAAAAAATCCGTTCTTTGCTATAAACTCCAATAGCTTTAGGCTAGATGAACAGAGATGAATCAGCGCCTCCTTGTTTTAAGTGGAGATGCTGTACTCTAGTGGCGCAGTACGAGATTGTACCCTTATTCAACCAGAAACATCAGTTTTAGTGTTTTACTGTCTAAAAATGTCTCCAATTGAGCACGAAGTGTTTATAATGTACAAATATCTGGCTAAGGCTCGCCATTCTGTTGTGATTTAAATTACATGTCATTTAATAACCCATAAGGCTTAGGATTCCATAGGAAATATGAAATCCACCTTATGGAATGTGAGGTTATTTAAACCAGAAGATTGGAACTTTTTAATGCAGGGATTAGATAACCGCTTCGTATTCACTCAGAGACAACAGAAGAGAGAGAGTCAAGTTTAAAAGTTAAGAATTTTATTACTAACAAATTAAACTAGACTAAATTTAAACACTACATGTATGGTGTAACTAAGGTGGATGAGGCAGTGAATGGGATGACGTGTGACGTTTTACCAAACACCATCAAACCACGCCTCCGTCAGATCTGTCAGATTCTGATTGGATCAGTGAAAGTAATGTGTCATGTCTTTTAACGCTACATGAAATGAGTCCTGTTGGAACCCTTAAAGTCACAGTACCTTTATATTCTATAGGATTATAAAAAAGTAATTAATATTTTGATTTCACAGATCAGTCACATCTTATTTATTGACTAACACTTTGCTTGATTAGCTTATTAAAATAGAGTTATTTGATTAATTAAAAGAAAATAGTCCATTCTTCATTCTTCTGTTGAGCTGAAAATAAGCAGGTTAGAAGCAAATGTATGAGACCTTGAGACTATATCTCATGCAGACTAGTCCTGTGTCAGGGGTAACAGATGGATGGATGGTCAGGTGCTGCGTGCAGGAACTTGCACTTGTCGGATAACTCCTCTCTTTTTTTCTCTCTTGCCTGCTGATGCTAGCACTTTGTGCGTGGTGCGCATCACGGCAGTGAAGTGTGTCCTTGGTGTGTTTGGAGAGAATGCATCCTAAACCCCCAAAAACCTAAACTGAGTGAATTTTGTGTGTCTGCTTAAAGAGGATGTGAAGTCCCTGAGTTGGTGTCTGTTTCCATGTGCAGTTCCAGGGAACACGTGACGCCGGAGATGAACAAACTTCGGCAGAGCCTGAGGAGGAAGAAGCCCACGTATGTGCCCGAGGCCAGCAGACCACACCAGTGGCAGGCGGATGAGGAGGCTGTACGCAAAGGCAAATGTAACTTCTCTGTTCGGGTATGTTGTCCCTAATTTAACAATAAATATCTTTCAGTAAAAATGTTGTTCATTATAAGGGAGGAACTTATTGCTCATTTTACTGTGGCTCAATGGAGGGAACAATGATTTAAATGGCGGTGTATTGGGAGCAGTCTGAAAGAGGAGATTTACTCTGCTAGACACAGTTTTACATGTTGTTACAGCACATGCATGAGTTCCTGAAGCTCAGAAAACACATCTTACTTCTTCACTCGGGTCCTGACTCCTGCAGAGCTCTAATTGTGTCCCCATGGGCACTGCAGCTTAGAGCGCTAGAGAGACAACAAGAGGATATGAGGCTATAAATGTCACGAAACGAGGCTTGTAGGACCCAAAACTGCAGGAACCCAAGATGACACGAGGCAGGTGATAATATAAAGAAAAATTCTTTATTTTGAAGGATGAGTCCAAAAATAAGAATAAATCCACAGGGACTGGAAGTCAAAACTCCAATAAGTCCAAAATGAAAACTAGAGACAAGGAAATCTAGAGACAAGAGCAGAAGTGACAGAATAACCACAATGGACCGACACAAGACAGAGACAAGACAGGGCTTATATACAACAGGGAGGAGTAATTAGGGGAAATGGCAGCAGGTGTGTGGAGTGAGGGCTGGAGGGAAGACAGGTGAATCTAATCATCTAACTGGGAAAACAGAAACAGAGGAGGGCAAATACCTAAACACAAAACTAAACGACAACTATCTAAAGACAGAGGGAAGGGCTCAAACTAGCTGGACGAGCGCACACACACACACACACACACACACACACACACACACACACACACACACACACACACACACACACACACCACACACACACACACACACACACACACACTGAGTTGGGGAGGACACACACACACACACAAACACTGAGTTGGGGAGGACACACACACACACACACACACACACACACACACACACACACACACACACACACACACTCACACACACACACAAACGCACACACACTGAGTTGGGGAGCCCCCCCCCCCCCACACACACACACACACATACACACACACACACATACACTGAGCTGGGGAAAAGAGGCTGGAGTTGACCTGGGAGGAATGGTTTAAAAGGGTAACAACATTAAGACACATAACTGAGACGCAGAAAAAGGACACATGAGGGCGCTATGAGACACAGAAGGGAATCTAGAGAGGGATGGAGAAACATCAGGAGACACATGAAGGAAGACACAGACGCAGACCGTGACAATAAAGAACTTCCATCTTCTGCTCTCTCTCTCTCTCTCATCCTGCCCTTATTATCAGTACCAACTTGCAGCTGAAGATCCATCATGAGAACAGAGTGATGGAGGCATTAGTTGCTTGTGTGTGTGTGTGTGTGTGTGTGTGTGTGTGTGTGTGTGTACATGTGTGTCAGTGTGTGTGTGCAGAGAATATGTGTGTGTGTGTGTGTGTGTGTGTGTGTATGTGTGTGCAGAGAATATGTGTGTGTGTGTGTGTGTGTGTGCAGAGAATATGTGTGTGTGTGTGTGTGTGTGTGTGTGTGTGCAGAGAATGTGTGTGTGTGTGTGTGTGTGTGTGTGTGTACATGTGTGTCAGTGTGTGTGTGCAGAGAATATGTGTGTGTGTGTGTGTGTGTGTGTGTGTGTGTGTGTGTATGTGTGTGCAGAGAATATGTGTGTGTGTGTGTGTGTGTGTGTGTGTGTGTGCAGAGACTATGTGTGTGTGTGTATGTGTGTGCAGAGAATATGTGTGTGTGTGTGTGTGTGTGTGTGTGTGTGTGTGTGTGTGTGCAGAGACTATGTGTGTGTGTGTGTGCATGTGTGTGTGCATGTGTGTGTGTGCGTGTATGTGTGTGCAGAGAATATGTGTGTGTGTGTGTGTGTGTGTGTGTGTGTGCGCGTGTATGTGTGTGCAGAGAATATGTGTGTGTGTGTGTGTGTGTGTGTTATTGGGGCACAGCTCATACCAGACGTCTCTTTGATAAAGAGTTCTGTCAGAAGGATCTGCTCTGGTATCAATACCTCTGCTACCCTTTTGTTGCAGTATCTGGGGTTGGTGGAGGTGGAGGAGTCCAGAGGGATGCATGTATGTGAGGAGGCAGTGAAAAAGCTGAAAGTTGTAAGTATGCACCCCCCACCACCTCCACTACCACGAACACCACACCTTGGTGCACTGGGATCACACACAGCCTCATATAACTCTCACATATGTTCTCTGCACACACACACACACACACACACACACACACACGCACGCACGCACGCGCGCACACACACACACACACATACGCACACACACACATACACACACACACACACACACACACACACACACACAGCTGGACTGGGACTGGGAGTGTGTGAACAGAGTGACACGGAGTGGCTGGAGTGTGTAAGTAGATTTAAAGGATGAAAGGGAAGCACGTTGTTCGTACTGCGCTGATCTGTCTCATTATGAAACACTTTGAAGCTGCAGCAGCGAGGAGGACACACGATGGTACATGACGTCTCAACACACGGAGGTCATCGTTCAACCAAACCTACCTTTAGTCACCTTTAGTCCCATTGTGACTTTCTGACCGCCTCTGCATGGAGAACAGCAGCTCTCACTGACTCCTCCCCACCTCCTCTCTGTCTCCCCAGAGTGGCAAGAAGACAGTGAAAGCAGTATTGTGGGTTTCAGCTGATGGACTCAGGGTGGTGGATGATAAAACCAAGGTAAGCTCTCTTTGTTTGGTCCTTCAAGTGTTTCATCTTTTCAGACAGCCGCTGTGCAAAGCAAAACTTACATAATTAATAAAAATGGCTACATGCCACACACACTCCAGACTCGTGTTTTAATTCTGGCTTTTATTTCAGTAAACCTTCTAAAGGTTCTGTTCAGCTCCGGTGGACTAAAAGGCATCGAAAACAAACCGGTTAAAATAACAGCAGGTCAGAGTTAGAAACGGGTTTGGTGCCAGCGACAGAGAAAGAAACGTGTTTCGTTTATTTTCGGCCTGAAAGCTTGTTTTAATAGTCAAATACGTTTCAAATAAAATTAGGTACAAATGTTGAAATGAGTATTTCTCTCCTGGTTAGAAGAGCAGAAGGTATCTGAGACAACCTTTGGTTCTCTTTAACAACATTAGGAACAATCAGTGTGTTTCTGTGTGAAAGCTGCAATTAAAACTTTACCTGTGTTAAAGCTTAATGAATGGCCTCAGTTTGGAGAAATACAGTTTCCGTCAGGCAGGGCTGATGAGCTAACGGCTAGTCCAAAAGTAGCCAAGACTAAAATAGAATGACGCTAATCTCCTCAGAGGCCAGTCTTTAAGCCCTAAACCAGTAAACTGCAGCAGAACTTGGATGTTTTAGCAGGAATGTTGAAATATTCCTACAGGATTTTGGGCTAAGCTGCCGCTGCTGCTGTGGCAGTAGTGATGAAACCGTTAGAGCTGCAGCCATGATCATGATAAATGACTCCAAAGCGCTTTACACTACAGTGTATCATTCACCCATTCACACACACATTCACACACTGATGGTGATGAGCTACGATGTAGCCACAGCTGCCCTGGGGCGCACTGACAGAGGCGAGTCATCATCACACAGTTTAGGACTAGGATTAGATAGTCCCGTTCTAAGATGCTCTCTCCCCTCTCTGCTGTCAGAACTGAGCTCTGTCATTCACAATAAACCTCAGGCACAACATTTGCTCCATCAGTTAAATAAAAAGACGCTGTCAGCCTCCAGACATTGTACAACTCTGACCAGGGATGAGACGTGAAGCTGTCCCTGCTCTCGTCCGATAGTCTGTCACGGGTATGAAGAGCTGACGGACAGAATGACTGGTGTCGTGTTTAATGCTATTGTGTCATCTTGAAGGCAGCGAAGGCCCACATAGTACGACCTCCTCCCCCAGCGCACGCACGCACGCACACACACACACACACACACACACACACACACACACACACACAACCAAGTAGTGTTTCTATGGTTATGTTGTGATTTCTTAGCAAATATTCTATTTAGTATGAGATAAAATAAAGACAAAGACCCAGGTTAGAAATCTTGGGGTTATCATTGACTGCGACCCGAGCTTCTCTGGACACATTAAGGCGTTAACTAAATCAGCGTTTTATCACCTTCATCAAACATCAAGAATCAGAGGTCTCGTGTCCGGACCAGACTTAGAGAAACGTATTCATGCTTTTTTTCTAGTCGGCTGGACTAATGCAATGGTCTCCTAACTGGTCTTTCCAAAAAAGCTGTGAAGCAGCTGCAGCTTGTTCAGAATGCTGCTGCTAGAGTCTTAACAAGAACTAAGAGAATGGAGCACATCACTCCTGTTCTTAGATCCTTATGTTACCAGTAAACTATAGAATAGACCTCAAAGTGCTCCTACTAGTTTATAAATCACTCAATGGCATGGGACCAGAATATATGTCAGATCTCATTCCTTTATATACACCCAAAAGGGCTCTGAGATCTCTTGGAAACAATCAGCTGGTAGAACCTCGGGTCAGAGCAAAACATGGTGGTGATGCATTTAGTTACTATGCTGCTCACATGTGGAATCAGCTTCCCCATGACCTGAGATCTGCCCCAACCCTAGTGTTGTTTAAAACACAACTAACGCCTGAGTTACGCTTCTGCGTCAGTGCGGAGACACTCAACGCCATTATCCGTCCTTGCGAGCCTGCTGGAGAGCCCTCGCAAGGATGGACGGCGTCAAGCTCTGTTTTCTAAATATCCATCCGTCAAGATGGAGAACGCAAGCTTGTGATTGTTCAGTGCGCCACAGTCGTCTACTCCGCCGCCATTGCACCCTCAAAAACATAAAGAGAACCGAGGATAATTAGCAGCAGACATGGAGAAGCTTGAAGAATAACTCGCGAAAAAACTCTAAAATATGAACATTTAATTCCCCGTGACTGGAGGAGTGAAAAGATGCGCAGGAAGCGTTTTATTTGTGGACGGAAATGACAGGAAACGTGGGTTTAGAGGTGGCGAGCGCATGAAGAGGTGGAGGAGGATGAGAGACAAATTTGTCCATGTTAAAAAGTCTCTTATATACAAAAAAACACAATATAAACACATTATCTTGGACCGATATATGACAGGATACCACAGAACAGCGCTACGCCCTCTGGTGTCCTGGTGGGGAATTGCTTTGCAACACTCCCCAGGAGACGGAGAAGTATGAGAGTTAAACATCTCTGTCCGTGCGTGCGTGTCTCTCCCGTTTGGAGCTGACGGAGAAGTATAAATCCAGCTTTAAAACCCTAATATACTCATCAACCTTTAATTGAACTGTTTCGTATCATGCGTCATCTCCACTGTAATTTGTGCTGTAACTTTGTCTTCTCATTTAGCTCTGTTGTGTATTTTAAACAAAAGAAAGCACACCAGAGATAGATTAGGTACGCTGCAGCGGCGGACAAGAGAAGCTGATCGGAACCTCGCCTCACTTGCCCTGCTCTCTGCCCCACTACAACACTTTTATTTAGGGAGAGAAAATGAGGAACAAAGGCCTATTCATCATGGCCTACGCTAGCCAATAACATTGTTGCTTCTATGCTGAAGCCAGCCAATAACATCGTTGCTTCTAGGCTAAGGCGGGACATTCTAAAAAGGAAGTCTCAAGTTATGGGAGTGACTGCTGAACTAACGTCCCCCACAGAGACAAACTACATACAGATCACAGAGGACAATTAGGACATAAACACTTAAAAAGAACATTTAAGATAAGTGTAATATAAAATCCCTAACAAGCTCTAAACTGCAATTCCATTTGTGTGTATTTTAATTTGTGTTTTTATGTTGTTTTCATATCATGTCCTGATAATTGTAAAGCACATTGAATTGCATCTGTGTTTGAAATGTGCTCTACAAATAAAGCTGCCTTGCCTTGCCTAAGCAATTTCCTTTTCTGAAGTTCAGGTCCAACGATGAGAACTTCAGTCTTGTCTTGATTTAAAAGCAGAAAGTTTAGAGTCATCCAATTGTTTATGTCCTCAAGACATGCCTGTAATCTACCTAACCGATTAGGTTCATCAGGGTTAATGGATACATATAACTGAGTATCATCAGCCTAACAGTGGAAGTTTATCCCATGCTGATTTTACCAATTGGGAGCATATATATAGTAAAAAGAATTGGTCCAAGCACTGAACCCTGTGGTACTCCACAAGTAACCCTGGAGTATGAAGAAGATTTGCCATGTACATTTACAAAATGAAATCTATCAGACAGGTAGGATTTAAACCACTGGCTGGCAGTAAGTCGAGCTTGTTTCCGGTGAGACTTGGACTCCGCCAAGGATGCACCTTTGTCACCGGTTCTGTTCAAGAAAATGGTGATGTCACTTGCCTTGTCCAATCATATTCACAAAGGGTCAGTAAGCCTACCTGCTAGCCTGCCACAGAACAGGTGTGTTCTCCAGCATGTGTTACCATGGTGACCGGGAGGGCTTTCAGGCTAGCCACGTTCGTAGAACCGATTTAGGAGAGGTTACACCGGGAATCTAACAAGAAAGCCTGGTTTGGGGAAAATCTCACTTTCTGGAATACCCCTCTGGTAAAGTTAACTGAACTCTAATTCCCATGTGGGCCAGAGCTTAAAGGGTAAACAAACAAACATTGTTTTGATACTCTTGCTACTTCATGTTATCCTCTGACATCAATTCCTGTGTCCAACCTATCTCTAGTGACTGTTGGTAAAATGTTAGCAGCTGTTTCAGTAATCGGTGCATTTTACCTGATTCAGCTCTAGACAGTCAAAATATTTATTTACTTGCTGTGGTGACTGATGCAGACTTGGCTCATCAGGCAATTATGGGTAAAATATGTCTTAATTCCCTTTCTGCTTTTTCCTGTTTCCACTGACTGCCTCTACCAGGACCTCATCGTGGACCAGACCATAGAGAAGGTCTCATTCTGCGCTCCAGACCGTAACTATGACAAGGCCTTTTCCTACATCTGCAGGGATGGAACCACCAGGCGGTGGATGTGTCACTGCTTCATGGCTCTGAAAGACTCGGTGAGGCTCCAGTGAACCTTTGACTCTTTTGCAGGAACTTTTTTAAAAGTTGCAACAATTCTTAAGAATGGGCCTTTATGAATTAAATGTAACTCTACTCTTAGTTTGTGTCCAGTGTTCTCACTGATAGCTGTTTGAGAGTGGGGGAAGCACAGGTGTACCAGCGAGGGCTGCATTCCACTTCTGCAGCTGTAAGTGTTGGTTATTTTGTAAAACTGCTAATGAGCATAACTTTTCCTAAATGGAACGTAGTCCTGGTTTATGCTAGCCTAGCAAACTAACCCTTATGTAAATACATAGCCTGGGCATGACCGATAGACAGAATCCAGTCGTGGGGGACATGGACATAGTTTAGACTTTAGAAGTGTGTGGGGGGGGGGGCCGGCATGAGGACCGGGAGGGGGGGTTTGAATTTACATTAATGTAATATTGTTTTTGGATGGTAAAAAGGGCAGGGGACAAAAACTGACTTAGGAAAAAGTGGGGGTGGGGGGTGGGGATGTCCCCCCTGTCCGTCCCAAAAACTACATCCATGGTGGGGGAAAATCTACAGATGTCTTTGCAACCAATTGGATGGAGCTAGAGCTTGTTGAAGCAAAAACAACATGATGTATTTAGCTCTACAGCAGGGGTGTCAAACTCATTTTGGCTCAGGGGCCACATTGAGAGAAATCTAGTCCCAAGTGGGCCGGACCGGTAAATTAATTAAATACTTCAGATTGTTTTCTTTGTTTTAATACAATCAATATAAAACGAGGCTGGAGCCTGAGGACAGTGTAGTACAAGTACAACACCTGAAGTGTACTTGAAAATTTGAAAAAAAAAAAATAATAATAATAATATATCAACAAATAAAAAAACATTCCTTAGTGCACATATGTCAGACACAAGCATTTTTATGTGGCCCGCAAGATAAATATTAAAAATATATTAAAACTGGCCCGCTGGCTGATTTTACCGCAAAGACTTCAACTCCCATGATGCTTTGCGGCGTTAGCGCGGAGCCGACGCGCCCCTTCCTTTGTGTTTTTTCCAGCGCCTGCTGCCGGTCTCTGCAGCTCCGCTGTCTCGGACAAACTAAACGCTCCTCTCACTCAGCGCCGAGTTCACTCAGCTGTTTTCTGACGTTGAAGCCCAGAAACGGAGATTCTAGCCGCTCAGTAACATGTTCACGACTGAAAGAGAAAGTTTTCCAATTAACTTCCAGACAGAGCCGATATAACTCCAGCGAGCAGCGACACGCTCAAACCAGCATGACTCCGTGGCTGCTGTCGTTGTGTTTCCTCCCCGACACACAACAACGTGGTCAAGCTGCTCAGACATGTTCATCAGCACAAACCTATGTGAGCACCTGTTGTCATCTAATGTTGTCATTATTATGATGAAGATGAACAAAACAACAGGAGTCTCCTCCTCAGCTCAGATCAACCCCATGATGCAGGTATCTGGCTGGAACAGGTGAGCATCACAGTAAACCAGTGGAGCAAACTGAGCTTTAAATATGTTGGTTTTACGCTCCAAAACATGAAAGTTATCAGGTGAGATGTTGCATTTTCATTTAAGATAAAATGATATTTTATTTTGTTGTTGGCCCGTGAGAAAAGATTTAACCTGTAGTAAACAGGAAGTGGAAAGGCTGCAGATAGATGAATAGAATAGAAAATCCCTTTATTGTTCCTCAGTGGGGAAAGCTAGACGTCACAGCAGCGATGACACGTATTACAGGAGAAAAAAGGAGAATAAAAAATAAGAAAAATGAATAAACAAGAAAACATAAATCCTGAATAGATTTTAAAAATGCTGATTATACCACAAGTAATGAATACCGCTGATGCCTTTTATTTAAAACGGACTTGCTCGTGTGTAATTTGGTTATTCCACATTCAGTGTTAATGCAGAAATATGTTTGTTTCCAAATTTAAAGGTTCAAAATTGCATACATGTTGATAAAGGAAACGTGCAAATTTGCCGTCACTTTTTCAAAAAATATTAAGTTTGGCCCTCGACTCCGTCCCAGAGTTTCATTTCGGCCCCGTGTGAGTTTGAGTTTGACACCCCTGCCTTAGTGATTCAAAGAGCTTACAGATCACATGGCTAGATCAGTTTCATGCAGCACTTAAAGTATATTTGACTCATTTTACTTTACATCTTTTAGCTTTCACCAGCACATCGATATCAGAAGTCACATCCTGAGTGGCAGCCAACTTCAGGATGTAATTCAAGTTCTTGTGTGAGCCTTGAGCGCAGCTTTGTTTTATTTATACTCATTACAGAGAAAACTTGCTCACAAAGATACGTTTATTTTCACTCTACATTGTAAAGTATGAAATAAAATTTACACAACCATCTCGCGGGCCGCATGTTTAACACCCCTGCTCTACAGAGATCAGTCAACGGGGCAGTCATTCATACACAGTTTGAAGGGGAAAAAAAGAAGCAAATACATCTTGTTCTGAAATAAATGGCTTCAGTATTCCCAAATTATTTAGCATCAGCTTATGTCTCAAAGAAAAGCTCAAGTCTAAAATGCCAATCCTGAGCCGATATCCTCTGTCGTTTTTCTCTGTCTCAGCATTAGGCCCACCCAACAGACACAGAGCGCTGTGATTGACAAGACACATTTTTGGGCCAATGGTAAGCCTCCTGAGGCTAGAATGGAGCGTGGCTAGACCAACCTGCTGAGTAAAAGTTAAAAGATTTATTCACCTGTGATTTCCCAACTTGTATAAGTCCAATGTCTGAAAAGGGCCTGCTGTTGCTCATAGGGATTTTTTTTATCAGTTTCATTTCTACCCAGAGACGTTTATATTCTGGTTTATGACATGACTAAAGACACCCGTAAGTTAAAACCAAGACAGTTTTGTGTTGTATATGACTGCTGCCACACCAGATATTAGCTCAGCGTTTTAAACTAACTGTTTATTGGATACTTTTAAGTTTGTTGAGGTTAATTAGCTGTGGTAGCATCCCAAACATGGTAAATAATCAGTTTATTGGATATTTTTAAGTTTGTTGAGGTTAATTAGCTGTGGTAGCATCCCAAATATGGTAAATAATCAGTTTATTGGATACTTTTTAAGTTTGTTGAGGTTAATTAGCTGTGGTAGCATCCCAAATATGGTAAATAATCAGTTTATTGGATACTTTTTACGTTTGTTGCGGTTAATTAGCTGTGGTAGCATCCCAAATATGGTAAATAATCAGTTTATTGGATACTTTTTACGTTTGTTGAGGTTAATTAGCTGTGGTAGCATCCCAAATATGGTAAATAATCAGTTTATTGGATACTTTTTACGTTTGTTGAGGTTAATTAGCTGTGGTAGCATCCCAAATATGGTAAATAATCAGTTTATTGGATACTTTTTAAGTTTGTTGAGGTTAATTAGCTGTGGTAGCATCCCAAATATGGTAAATAATCAGTTCGTCCAATGAAGACTTTTGCTGAAGTTTCTTTGAGATCCATCACATTGTTCATCGTGGATATTTTGCTGATACGCAACCATGGTGCACAGGGGCACCTCCAGAATTTTTTGATGGGGTGGCCAGATGGGATCAAAGAAATTTTTGGGGTGGCACACCAAATTGGTCCTTGTGGTAACTCTGGGAGAATTTAGTCTGTGGCGATGTGCTGCGTTGCACCTTTATTAATTTTTATTAAAATAACAGTAAGTATCCAAAACATTTAACTTAAGTTTTACAAACACAAACATTTTAGAAAATTACATTCAGTTATTTATAATGTTAACCCAAAGTTAATTTAAAATGTATTTTTTAGGTTAATTCACCTGTTGGTGTGTTAAAAAAATTATGGAGATAAAAAAGTTTTTTAAATGGTGAGCAGCAGAAACATATGTTTTTTTTTAATTCTGATTATTTCTTTAGTTATTAATTGTAATCATTTTTATTTAGCTTTAAAATTATGTGTTGAAGGTCAATATATGGTTTGACTGAACATTAATATGATTTGTTAACACTGGCTTTTCCTGGGGGGGTCAGCACTTTTCTATGGGTGGCCATGGCCACCCCTGGTCACCCCTTGGGGGCCCCCTTGATGGTGCAGTCCAAAATGTTTTATTCTAAGGATTAATCTGCTAAAGTGCTTAGTGTGTGTTGGAGGAGAGGCTCATCTACAAACATGCTGAGTTTAAGCTCCAAATCTGTAAAAGCGGTGGCTGTTTTTGTGTTGACTGTGGTAGCCATCTTGGCCCGGGTTGAGTCTGAACATGAATCAGTTGTAGACACACAGCTGATTATTACAATCTGGAAGGTGTATTGGGTTCTCTCTAACCACAAGTAAAACAGATGATTCTCCACCTTCACCTTTCAGCGGTGATAAAACCCAACACGTGCTTTCTGTGCTGCTGATGTGTGAGTCAGTTTTCTATATTTCAGCTGAAAAAGAAAAACTGCTCCATTTCCACCAGTCTGACGGTGCTTTTTGGTGTCATGAGCTTAAAGTGGGAATGGGATTAATAATGTGGATGGAAGAGAACAGAGCACAGGTCTGGGATTAGAGGAGGGGATTATACAGGAGCCGCTGGGGTTATCTGCCCATCTCTGTCTGTCTTGGTTTCCTCTGCATGTCCAACCTGAGCTGACCTCTCTGCTGCTGCTGCTAGCTCTGAGCAGGAGGGACACCTGAGATCTGAGGGAGAATAAATCAGTTACTTTAGGGCGTCATGAACTAGTGTTTAGGTTTGATACGCCCTACTTTACTCTATTAAACATGTGGGTAATTAATTATAGATTCATTAAGATAAAGACAATACAGTTTATTTCTAATAGAATATTTACTAAGAAATCACAACGTAGCCACAGAAACACTACCTGGTGTGTGTGTGTGTGTGTGTGTGTGTGTGTGTGTGTGTGTGTGTGTGTGTGTGTGTGTGTGTGTGTGTGTGTGTGTGAGTCGTGCAGGATGGCTGCTTATACTGAGCCAGGATCCTCTGGAGGTTTCTTCCTGTTAAAAGCGAGTTTTCCTCTCCACTGTCGCTGCATGCTTGCTTAGTATGAGGATTGCTGTAAAGACTCTGACACTAGTCAGTGACTCGATGCAACCTGCTGGGTTCCTCATATAGAAAACCTTTTACTGATTGGCTTAATCAACTGACCTGGAATGTTTACTGTGTGAAGGTCCTTGAGGTGACTCTTGTCGTGATTTGGCGCTTTATAAATAAATAAACTAGAATTATTTGATGTTATCAAGGCACAATGGAAGTTTATGAAAAGTGCTGATATTTTATTCTCTAGAAGATGTCGCGTTAGTGATGGATGGTGGCTTGGATGATAAAATGGTCCTATAAATCCTGTCAAGGCTGTCCGACTGGATTCTAAACTATTAGTTTCACAATCTTTGCTGTACTTAAATGTGTAGTCTCAGGTGTTTTCTGGAGCTTTTTTCTCATTTAACTTGAAATAATCTTCACATATTGATGGAAACCAATAAATTAAATGTTTTGTCCAAAAACTTTAATAATTTTTGTCGACCCCAAAACGTACAATCCTGGAAACCCTCGACCAGTCACTGTGCTTGTCCCGCTTCTAAATGATTAAATGGCCTGTATTTGATATAGCGCCTTCTAGAGTTCTTGAAACCCCCCAAGGCGCTTTACAACACAATCAGTCATTCACCCATTCACACACACATTCACACACTGGTGGGGATGAGCTACAATGTAGCCACAGCTGCCCTGGGGCGCACTGACAGAGGCGAGGCTGCCGAGCATTGGCGCCACCGGTCCCTCCGACCACCACCAGCAGGCAATGTGGGTTAACTGTCTTGCCCAAGGACACAACAGCAGCGACAGACTGAGCGGGGCTCGAACCTGCAACCTTCCGATTACGGGGCGAGCGCTTAACTCCTGTGCCACCGTCGCCCCACGTAGATAACAATCCATCCATCATTCTGCTTTTACCAAGTGCAACAACTTTAAGCTAATGTTGTTCAGCTGGAGTTATTGTTTACTTTTCATTGACCACGGTCGTAAGAGATTAGTATTGTTTTTCATTTTGTGTGTGCGTGCATGCACGCGAGTGTGTGTGTGTGTGCGTATACTAGAGATGTATCAAACCTCCCAAACTGGTAAACATGTGGAGTCAACACAGCTCCGGGTGGATGCCTCTGGGACACGGTAGGTCTTTGTATGAGATGAGAATAATTGTAACACGCTCTAAATGCTGACACGTCACATGAGATCTTTCAGTATAATAAGGATAAGCATGAAGTTAAAACTCTGCATGTGTTACTTTGACGATGATGGGCCCAAAATGAAATATGGATTTAAGTTAAAGTGTCTCACAAAATCTTGGAAAGTTTCAGGTAAAAGTCTTTTTCATGACTAAAACAATCAGAAAACTCAAAATAGTGCAAGTATCTGCACATTCAGTTCAGTCCATTCAAACATGCAGGTTTTGTTGTTGTTTGTGACCCAGGGAGAGAGACTTAGTCATGCTGTGGGGTGTGCCTTTGCTGCCTGCCTGGAGAGGAAGCAGCGTCGAGAGAAGGAGTGTGGGGTGACAGCTTCCTTTGACGCTAGCCGCACCTCTTTTGTGCGTGAGGGTTCCTTCCGCATCAACTCATCTTCCAGCCAGCAGGGCAGCAGCAGCGATCGAGATGAGAAGGTGCAGGACAAGAAGAAAGGTAGGAGGGCCCCTCACCTGGGATGGATCGCTCACAGAGTCAGAGGTGCAATTCCAGAAATCTTATGTGGGAATCTCATTTATCTCCCAGATCAACCCTGTACCATCCCAGCCCTCCCACCTGGTGCCGCCTCCCCACCTGAGGGGGCAGCGTCCCCTATGGAGCGCCCAGAACCAGGCGTGCCTCATGCCATTCCTCGCCGCCACGCGCCCATCGAACAGCTGGTGCGCCAAGGCTCTTTCAGGGGATTTCCAGCTCTCAGCCAGAAGAACTCTCCATTCAAGAGACAGCTGTCGCTCCGCCTCAACGACCTGCCATCCACGCTGCAGCGTAAGACCGACTTTCAGGCCAAGAACCCTGGTGAGTCAAGACCGAGTGGTGACCTGTTGATGTTCTGCCCTTGGTGACTCTGGTTTAATAGAAATGAAAGATTCAAGGGTAGAGTTTAAAGAAACTTTTTGTTATCTGGGTAGACTGTATTCATTTGTGAACAAACAACCATTCCCGGACTCAATAACAAACATTTCCCCGCGTTTCTCCAAGTAGGAAGATCAGGGGCAACCAGAGGTTTAGGGTGCTGAGCACCCGGAGATCTGCCCGGTCAGGCAAGATAGATTTCAACATTTTCTACATTTTAACACAATTTCATTCTGACATTTATGAAAGAAAACAAAAACACTGTTTTCACTATTCAAATTACAGTTTTACACACCACAAACTATACGTTCAGGGAAACGTCTGTTATCTAAATCTGGTCCAGGTTTAGAGAGTCTAGGTCAGCGGTTCCCAATCTTCAGTCCTGGAGGGTCCCTTGGCTGTGTGGTAACCTCACCAGCTCAGCTCAAACATGATGTAGAAGGGGAAGAAATGATCTTTTGTACGGCGCCTTTCAAGATAAAAGTCACGAGGCACTTGCATGCGCTGAATTCCCACGAATTTGGTGGGCCTTGGTAGGGAACCACTGGTCCAGGGGCTGTAGTTTTAAAATATGAGCAGATTAAAGATTAAAGATGTTCAATGAGTGGAAAAATGGGTTGTAATTGCCCTTTAATAATTGGAAGCCTGAAATTGAAGCCAATTCTTTAGTTTTGTCTGAATTTCCATAACAGAATGAAACTAAAAGTACCAGCAATAATTTTTAGATCATTTATACTCATTTTCACATAATTTTCCAATAATTACATCCCATTGAAGAAGAAATCAAAACTTTTTTGATCATTTGTCTTTCTTCTTCTTCTTAATTTTAAAAACTAACAAAAACAAAATGGTTGTTGTGCAAAAATGACAACCAGTCTCTTCCAGAAGATGTTCAGGGCAGCGAAAACAACAATCAGCGACTTTGGCTTTGAAACAACACAACCACCTCGTTTGTGTTAGAATCTTATCGTTGGGCTTCCGGGGACCCACGGTCCAGAAGAAGATGGGCGGGACTTAGCCTCCATATTGTCCCAAAATATTTCAATAATCTACAGATGAGCATTATAAAATACAAGTAGTCGTTTAGTATCCACGTTAGCTTTAAGACCTGCTGAACATTGAAATGTTTCTGTCCTCCTGTATTCTAAGGGCATAAACCCACTTTAAAAGGAGAAGGCGTCCTCCAGCTTCACCCTTCTGTCACCTCACCTGCAGCTTTGAACCTGATTCCCCGAAAGTTTCTGTGTAACTCACACCTTTCTTTATCGGATCCAAACACCTGAGGGCCAAACATAAATGGCCTGACGAGATGAGCGACTCTCACGGTGGGTAGGAAGAGGCTGAGTCAAATGCCTTTGCAGGCTATTAAACAGCTAGCTAATACAGTATCCAAGCTGGCGCTTTCCGGTTTGAACTGACAAAGCCTCCAGAGAAGAACTGTTCAAGTAGTGAGCGCTGAAGCACCAATGCCGTTGTTGACTTGCATCAGCGTAACCCCAAAAGGGCTCACTTCATAAAAGAGAGAAGTCCGACTGAGAACGGGAGATGAAGGTTACGTCACAAACCCATACTGATACATATCGTATTTTTCAGTGGTTATGTGGAACATTTCTAGCGGTTATACGGCATATACCCGCATGTCACGCAGACAACATCACTGGTCTTTTGAAAACAACGAGCCGTGTTTGAGATGAGCCGGTTCTGAGCAGATTCAGTCACCGATGGTCGGCACAGAGTGCGTGCGGTGTCCGACTTAACGCACACTTGCTCTGACGTCGTGCATACGTAGGCAAAGATATCCTCGTGAGGTCAAGGCGGCCGCAGATTTTGAAGCAAGGCACTGCAGTTGCTCTCCACCCGCTGCAAAGCCTAGGGCATGATGGGAAACGCCTGGCTCTCACCTGATTGGCCGTAAAGAGAAATGTGTTTAGCATTAAAATGTTTCTTTTGTCACGTTTCCTATGAGCACACCAAACCTCTACAGCTGATAACCTTTACTTATCATTACAGTCGTGTCTCCATATGCACACGTCTACCAGGTATGATATCCACAAGCATGTGAGGATGTGTTTCAGCTGCCAGCAGGCACCATCTTTTTACACGGTTATGAACACTGACACGTTATCTCCAGCCTTCGTCACCCGGAAGCTCCATGTAGGGAAGTCTGTCCGATTTAAACACCGGCTTTTAGCCACGCCCCCTGTTGCGTCTGTCTGCTCTCATCTCTTTTCCAGGCGAGACGCTGCCCATCTCAAACAAGGCCACAGTCTCAAACACGTCTGCGCCTCTGGTGGTGATATCCAGCTGGCTGGGGTCGGAGTTCGGTTGAACTTCTCCGGTAGTCCAATATCCGTTCTCGTCGCCGTATCCCAGAGAAAAAACAAATCTGACCGACCAGCAGCTTGAGAAGCTGCCTCTGACTGATGACACGCTGTCCGTTGCACTAATGCTTATACAGAAACACAACAGAGCCGCTACTGTGGTGTTTGTGGAGCGTTGACATCTGTTTAAGAAGCAGTTTTTAAAAACACTGGATTTTCTTAAAATTCCAGCCCTGAAAATACAAAAAGCGTTTTCAGCAGAGGTTTTAAGCCTTTACAGGGTGGTAAAATTTCAACCCCAGGGCATAAATAACCAAAGTCTGTTGCTACAATTTTCAACAATATTCATTTTTCTACAGAAAATCAGAGAAAACAAAGTGCTGAAATATGGACGTTGGCCCTGTTCTGGTGAAAGAAATCCCAAAATAAAGCAACACGAACAAGTTAAAGAAACATTATTTTTGGATAATATAGATAAGACACTTTAGAATTTTATTTTAGAAAAGTTATTGAACAATAGATATCATTTCTGATCAAATGTGGATTATTATAATATTTTAGAATATTTTATATTTGAGGATCTGCCTCAATGTCATCTTCCTCCTCATCATCATCATCACTGATGGTGAGATTTGCTGACACAAAAACTGTCGTCCTCCGTTTTCCATTGAAATCTTAGTTTAATATTGGAAAATGTATTCAGTCTCATAATTACCGCCTGTGGGCAAAAATGGCGTCCAGCAACAGCGCAGACATCTTTCTTCAGAAGAAAGGCTTTTAGCGCTTCTACTTGTTGTTGTTTTAAAGACGTGTCCAAGTTATTTAGACCAGAGGAAAGAGCCGCAGCGACCTCCGCTTCAGTCGCCATGTTTCTGAGAAACTCGGCGTGTGATGTACGCTACTCAGCGCTGATTGGCTCGGTTACAGTTCTCACAGGGTGGGC